CAAACCTGCAAAATCAGCAAGGGCTCAAATACTTATTTCCCCCACTGTAACTAGCTAAAAGCAGTTTACCGAATAGTGAAACACAATCTGTAACAACCAGGAACCAAATGATAGCCCTCCTTTACATCAGTATAATAAAATAATGTTCTAAATATGAGCTCTTCTGGATTAGAAAATACAGCTTTAACTAAACACCTCTGAAAGGAAACACAACGATACAAACTCAACAAACTAAAAGGATCTGAACTAAGGAGAGATAAACTACATTATCTATAATAAGTTTACATATAGATTTATACTAAGTTTATATATAGATTTATACTAAGTTTAGATAAACAAAAAGGCTCTATAATAAGTTTAGATATAGATTTATACTAAGTTTAGATATAGATTTATACTAAGTTTAGATAAACTAAAAGGATCTATAATAAGTTTATATATAGATTTATTCTAAGTTTGGATAAACAAAAAGGATCTATAATAAGTTTAGATGTATATTTTTACTAAGTTTAGATAAACTGAAAGGATCTGTAATAAGTTTAGATTTAGATTTATAATAAGTTTAGATAAACAAAAAGGCTCTATAATAAGTTAAGATATAGATCTTTATAAGTTTATATATTGATTCATACTAAGTTTAGATAAACTAAAAATATCTGTAATAAGTTTATATATAGATTTATACTAAGTTTATATATAGATTTATACTAAGTTTAGATAAACTAAAAGGATCTATAATAAGTTTATATATAGATTTATACTAAGTTTATATATAGATTTATTCTAAGTTTGGATAAACAAAAAGGATCTATAATAAGTTTAGATGTATATTTTTACTAAGTTTAGATAAACTGAAAGGATCTGTAATAAGTTTAGATTTAGATTTATAATAAGTTTAGATAAACAAAAAGGCTCTATAATAAGGTTAGATATAGATCTTTATAAGTTTATATATTGATTCATACTAAGTTTAGATAAACTAAAAGGATCTCTATAAGTTTATATATA